AACATAAAACAAAAAGGTTATAAAAAAAAGGTTTAATAAAGGAACATCGATTGATTGTTTCTCACCGAGTTGGTCCGGAAAAGACCCAGTCACAGTCCTTAATTACCTGTCAATATATATTATTATTATACGGGAGTTACAGGGCTGATAGCTATTGCTCACATTTAAGTTTTCTCACCACTTGCTCTCCCGCTTCTGTTCGGGTGGTTCCACACATTGCACGTTTCAACAGAATACTGGTCCGCGGTCCAATCAAGCAAAATCCATGGATGTGTTCCCGGGAAAATAAAATGGTTTATGCAATCAATTGAAGTACAATTGTTCCCATGGGAGAATGGATGGAAAAAAAAAAAAAAAATGGTTCTTTGACCGGGTCAGCTGCTGCAGGGTTCGAAGCTCCATCAAATATAGATCACGTGATTACGTGGATAGATTCGCTTTGTTTACGGCTTGGCGTGACGCGGCATTTCAGACTCGAAGGATCACGAATTTAATATCGAATCACAGAGTTCCCGCGCCACGCATGAATCAGGCTCTCAGACCGAGACAGGTTCCTTGGAAGGATTCATGTGAAATGTTCACATTTCTTGCGCAAGCGTCACATCATAACGTCATTGCCATGAAGTCAATTAGTGCGGGACGCCAGGCCAGGAATCTCCAGAGATCATGAGATCATGAGATCAGCCAGACCGAACCGTGACAACATCGACGATGCATGCTGCTTGTTTTCGCTCTAGGCTATTTTAGGGGTGTGATTCCGCTTGCTGGCGGTTGAGCTGGTTGCGACATGATAGCTTCCGAGCCACTAACCGAGGAGGGTTTGGGAGGAAGAAAAGCTGAACCCCCGGACGGGCCCAATTGTGCTGACCTGCTGTGCTGGGGTGACCCGAGGTTCATGCATGTCTGGGTACTGGAATGGACTGGGATTCGCGTTGTGTGATCCTTGTGCTATCTTCAGTTGGGTTGTTTGTTTGGATTATGAATCTGCGATGTTGTAACTATCAGTTGCCAAAGGAAAACTGTTCACTTAACTCCTTGTGCTTTTTGTAAATATTTCCTTTCTCTTTTGGTAGGGGGGTATTGAAGAAGACACCTGATGCACTTTTCATCATTCCATTCAGCAGCAAAATCTCATGACATCAACAACATCCCATGGACCCCGCTGTTGCATTAACTATTTCAAGAATACTTACAAAGAAGTTGAACATGGTTTATAGGTGGGCCCACTTTTCTAAAACAAATAAGCGCAGTCTACACACATAGTTACCAACATTCATGATAATTACTCATACATCTCTCTTCAACCTCTCCGCCCCCAACACCAGTGAGGGATAGATTAGAATCAGGATTAGGGATTAGAATTAGATTTAGTTGAGAATTTAAAAAAAAAAAAAAAAATTCATTCTGAGATATGTGATAAAGTCACTATCATCAAAAGCATAGAAAGATGTGTGTGAGAGATATGAGAGGTTATGACTGGTGTGTGTCTGAATGTTCAAAGAGGTTTAACTTCAGTTTGTTCCCCCCCCAAGTTTGGGCCCCACTTTCTTTTACAACCAATGATCAAACTATTAACCTCTGTAAACATGCTGAATGCAGCATACCCTCTCTTTAAAACTACACACACTAGTCACGCCTCACTCATATTACTAATACATATATCTCTTCAACCTCAACACCAGGGTTAGGGATAGGTTAGGGTTAAGTACGAGTTTAGGACCTTGAGAAGTATGCTACAATCAACTACCGTCAAGAGCATATAGAGATGTGTGAGGGAGGGGGTTGTGTGAGAAATGGCCCAACTAGTGTAGGTAGTTCTACTGAGGAGTCCGTTTGTCTGAATGCTTAAACCACCACGCTTAAGGTTTTTCCAAGGCTGTACAGGTTGGACGTGGGTTTAAGAAAGCTGAACTGGTTTTTAAAAATCTCAGCCCGGAAAAACTGTCGGCGTGGGTTTATGGCATAAATCATGACACCCGCCCATTTATACGCGAGCCGTACCTCACATCTCTCTCTCACACATCTCGAAATGAACCTCTCGACTGTAGTGATTCTAGCATATTTCTCAACTCTCGATTAACCCTAATCCTAACCTATCCCCAACCCTGGTGTTGAGGGCGGGGTGAGGTTGAATGAAGAGAGAGAAAATGAGTGTTTAAGCATGTGTGGTGTAAGTTATGTACAAAATTATGTAGACTTGTGTTTGTTTAGGTGAGGCGAGCCGAGTTGATCATGTTTTAAAAAAGTGGGTCAACTTACAAACCACGTTCTACCTGTAACCCCGGTTTTTATAGCCGAGTTTTAAAACCATATTCAACTTTTTTAAAACCAACCCCCAACTGTCTGACCAACTATTCTTGATTGAGCACTAGCCGGGTGCAGGAGGGAAATGTCTCCATCTCGATTTAAACGCTGGAAGGATCTCAGTGAGGTATTTGCTGAGCGCTCCAGCGGCTCGGTCTGACAACTGGGCACAAACAATCCTGCGAGTTGCTGGTTGGTTGCCCGGCTCTTCCCTCTCGGCTAATTATCCTTCATCTATTTTCCGTTTCTCCTGAAATAATTGGCGGCTCCTTTGACGAGGGGTAGCACCTAAAGTCCCGAAGATACGCTGCAGTGTAGCACAAATCGTCCGGAGCGCTTATGGGCGTAAACTGCCTGCTTTGGACTGCCAGAAAGGAAACCTATTTTTGGCAAGGCCCGGAGCTAGATCCTGTCCGGGACAAGGCTTGCAACCATTGATTGATTAGGCGAATTGCTTGGATTCAACAGAGCCAGAGCGAGAGGGAGGGGGCCGATTTCCACAGGTTCCCCTAACAAGCCAACTTAGTTACCTTAGATCCATTTTCCTCCTGTTTTCGGACAAATAAATACACGAGCAGCAGCTGCTTGGGGCCGTTGCATGTCTGAAAGGGAACTCAAAAAAAAAAAAAAAAAAAAAAAAAAAAAAAAAAAAAAAGAGAGAGAGAGAGAAGAGAGAGAAAAAATTCGTTGTTAAACCAAGGCAGACAAATGGTGGGAAACTTGATTTTGCGCCTTTTTTCAAGGTGGTAATTCTGGAGATAAATATGTCCAGTCAATTGACTCGGGATAGAAGAATGTCGTAGTTTATTTATTTTTTATTTCTAATTATTATTATTATTATGATTATGATTATGATTATTTTAAACTCCTTCGTAAACAAAAGAGACTTGCTGGACTATCCATAATATTTTGTCTCAATTGAGCAGTAAAGAAAGCTGATGATCAGCGCGCGGAGATCTATATTTTGAAGGTGACTCGCAGTTTGAGCGACAAGGCCCACCCACAATCAAGCTGCCATGATCCGCACGGATATCGTTGCTCTACAGCTTCATGGGACGGGTTCGTCACGACCTGCATGACGGTTTCTCTCCACTTTATATTTGAGCTCAATCGGGAGGTATTCTAGTTACCTAACCAGCTGTCTAAAACACCAATGCAAATGCATGCTTCCTCCTATTCTTCTGCTTATCCACAATTTGATGCTGAAACTGAGATTCTTCCCGTATTTTGAAGCATATTTTGAAGCAACCGTGGGTTTTCTTGGAGCCTTTTCCTGCCCTGTTGGCTCCCCCGATCGTAGCTAAAAATAAGTTGCAGCAGATCAGCTTCTTCCCAATTGTTTTTTGACTTCATAAACGAAGATCGAGAAGATTCTGTCGGTTACGGCAGGCCTTCTTGAATTTCTAAGAGTCTATCTGTGTTTGTAGTTACATCTGTGCTGTCCCTTGAAACCAAAAAAGTTTCTTCCTCATAGTTGCACGCCATGGACATTGCTTCAGCAACCAGATCGTGAGGCATCAGCTAGAGTGGTTCAAGTAAGGGCTATGCAGTAGTTTATTGGCTTGGGCGGCAAGGACATCAAAGTCCTTCCGACCAGTAGCAGCAGCGGAATTGAAGAATATCAGGCGCAGAGTTAAAAGAGAACCACAGGATAGCTACCAGGTACCGATACCTTTCCAAGTACCATGTGGAACGCGTAGAAACATGTTTCAGTACCTGAAGCTGCTTCCCTTTGTTGCCCAGTAAGCAGTCGTAACTCTCAGCTAGCGGGCCCTGTATCCAGAGGTATCCGTCCAGATAATGGTGGCGGACTAGGGACATGCGAAGACTTCTCCCCCTCCCCACTCTGGCGTACCGTTGCCCATTGCAACAAGTTCAGCCGTTCGGCTTCATACCGTCCCAAAACGATTCACTTTCTTTTTCTCCCCTCCCCTGCTCTTCTTCCTCTTCCTCCTCTTCCTCCTCTTCTTCCTCTCCTCCTTCATTCTCCTTAACCCTTTCACACCCCTTTCACCCCTTTTACTCCTCTTCCACCCTCACCTGTTCTCCCTACTCTAGCACCTTGCGTCTCGACGGTCTCCTCCCCCACCCCAACCCCCCCCCCCCCTCCTCCCCGTCGTCCCCCTCTACTGCAGCTGCTCTGCGTGCTCCTCTTCGGACCTCTCATCCCCTCCCTTCTCGTACCCAGTTACCTTGCCTCCCAGTGTCCGTAGACAATGGCTGTTTAACTTGGAATTCGGCTTCCATCCCGTGTCGTCCCTGGTGGCTCGGATCTCGAAGTCGACGGAAAGCCGATCTCGTTTTAGCAGACGAAAACCTCCACAACCCCAGAGGAGCTCGCCCGGCAGTGGGCAACGGGGTGCCTGCGTTACATGTTGGGCACATTCTGCATTTTGTTTTGACCTAAACGCGGCGAGGAGTGCATTCAGCCCCCACCTCTCTGAATCACCCTCCTCGCCAATCCTAAAGTTTAGGGGGGCTGGTCAGGGTGTGGACTGGCGTACCAAGGGGAGGCCCAGTCGAGAGAAGGGTGAATGAAAATAATAAGGCAAAAGTATAATACGAGT